TAAACATTTTTTTGCCAAGTATCCGGAAAAATAAACTTCTGAACAAGTTTCTAAAAGAGATTTATTTATCTGAGATTTATTTTGACTTGCAGATGAAGAATCTGTAGAATCGGAATCTATATCTGTAGTTTCACTTTCCGCGTCTTCATGTGGTTTAACTATTTYAATTGGAATATTTACTTCAATATCTTTTAAAACATCGACGTTGATAAACTCATCGGTATCCGGCTCACAGTTGCTACATGTCGTAGAACATTTCATTAAACTGAATGAACAGATATGTCCAAAACAGCAACGAAAGGTTCGGGCTGTAGGATTTTTATTGTATCTGTAAAATAATACCCGTAGCTGCAATAAAATACGAATTTATAAATGTTGTTTGTTCTTATCGCCATCTACCGGGATTAATATTGTATGCCACCGAAAAACCGGCCAGTGAGCAATCTATAGTATTTATTATCAATGCTACTACCTACACTGACATGATATTTTAATCTATTTAACCAAAATATTCATTTATTTTTAATCGCAACGCCACTATCCTGAATAAAGTTCAGCATTACATAACTATAAGCATATAATATACAATATAAATACATTAAATACTAATATATTGGGTTACACTGTAACAGTACTTCATATTTTGATTCATCGACAACATTATTAAAATACAATATTTAAAAAAATATGTAAAGGATTAACAACCACAAGTCACTACATTCAACAAGATTTATTTGGTGGGTGAGTCAAATTATTTAATAGGTACCCTAAACACTAAATGACTAAATACATTTTGTTGACGCGTGCTATCAAATTATATTGTTTTATTATTAGTATTTTGTATTTATAGTCTGTAATATGTGTCGGTTTCGTTCGGTTTTGATAAAACGAAAGACGGGCCGATCCGATAACACATTATTACAGACTTGAGACTTATATTCTATTGTATGATTTTTGGATCAGTCGCGTACGAACGATGTGATCGGCACAGTCTTGCAAAAACGTAATAAAGAATAAGCATATTTTGTGATTTAAATAAGGTTCTTTACATTTTCTTTAAAAACTAATTACTCCTATTCGAGAACCAAAAATAAAATAAACATTACAGTCCATAACACATTTATCTACCTGCTTTATTACACAATTATTAAATTTAAATAAGAATTAAACTAAATTATTGTAAGTATAAACAAGGATTATTTGAGGTTAAATGTACAACCTATTTGTAGGTAAGTTAATATAACATTTCTTGGTGTAAAACACACAACCAATCATAAGTTAATATGTTGGTTTGTAAAACATTAATAGAGTGTTGATTCTTATTTCTTAATAACCCAACTAACAATAAACTGGTGTTGCGTTTACACCAATTGGACCTAAGCTGTGCTTTTTTCCCTCGTCAGCCTCTTGTAACTTATTTCTTTACAAACCACCTTTGTCAGTCAAGTTTCCCTGACAAAAGTGTGAGATTAAATTGTCAACGTGTTGTTTCGTACACACTGTTGGTCTTGAAAAAGACCTTTTTACGCGCACGTGTGTATGTGCGCCGTTATAATTTTCATTTTCGCAAAAATGTTTCAATATACCTAGATGGCAAGCATATTTTTGGCGTCCTTTTTTGAAGAACCTACATAAAAAAAGCAACGATAAGTGATTAGTGATTATTGTTTTTTTTTATCTTAAATAAACATTTTTTTTTTAGATTAAGATAATCTTGTCATTAATTTTTCGACAGAAAATCGTTTTTATTATTATTGTACCTATACATATTAAAGTGATCATATAAAAAATCATACATCTAAGTGAAACTTAAATTAAATATAATATTGAAATTAAGTTATAGTTTATATTAAAATTGTCAATATCTACAATATAAAAATATTACTTTGTGCACCAATAGATTGACCATTGATGACACACTCCACCGTCATTATCACTGCAGGCGGAGAAATCGCCATGATGCTGACCGTGTAGTTGATACATGGATACATTTATTTTAATAAGAGTATGTACGGTACTTCAATTTGTGTTCAAAGTGGTTCATCACCTAAATTAAAAGGGTTTAAGTTATAATATTTACTATTATAGCTAGTGTAATAATGAACATTAAACTGTATAATTGAATGAACATTAATGTTGCCAATATACAAGCATATTTCGTAATATAAAATCAAACTCAACCAAAATATATAAAAAATAAAAAATATCTAAATAATTGAAATGTTGTACGTGTGTAAGACGAAAACAACAAATGTCCATGTGGCGTTCTCTTAACATATGAATGCTTAAAATATTATCCAGTAATTATTATTAAAAAAAATTATACATTGACGCGCTGTATTGTCTTTTGATCATCAGATTTTAAAGTACAATATAGATATTAAGTATAAAAATATTAACATGGATAATAATATATAATAAATTAATAAATATAGCTTTAGAAGTTGTCGTCCTCGGGTGGTGCGACAGACAGCGAACGAATCAGCACTGTATGTTTGCATGAGTGATTTCACGAACTAATCACTGTAAATGCTTGAAATTTTCACCAAATGTTTATGTTAGTGTTATCTATATACAGTTTAATTTTCAAAAAGGTTTGACTTTTTTTGAGTTATTTATAGAACACTGAAATTTTCGAATTTTTTTTCAAGTGTCGGTTAAAAAAATGTCGGATGACCAAAAAAAC